TGTGGGTACAAACTTCAATAGAGGAGCGGCGCTGCTGCTGTGCATCGAGACAATCTGGGGTTCTTTGATGCTTGCAGTTGTAACTACCCACTTGATGTTGTTCTGTGATCGTCGTGATGCTCTTTCCTTGGACCTCCGTATGATGGAGTCTCTGTGGTCGAGGGAGGACTGCAATGTTGGTCCGATGGTGGAGCTAACATCAATCATACAAGGGTTCATTGGACCAGATAGTCACAAGATGTCTGCTAGCTGTCCCACTGAGACCTTCCGCATTACCACGAAGCCTGATGCCTTCATCGTCCGCCACGGTGAGCTCGTTGGTGTCTTCATTGATGAAGAGAGGATAACCTTGAGGTCGGTGCTGGAGAATAATCGGTTCGTTATGGAACTCGATCCACCTTGTCCGAAGGGCTCCCTCGTCGACTACTCTGCGGAAGAGGACCGCCTCACAGCTTTTGACAGGAAGCTCAATACGGTATACACTTACAATCTCCGCAAGGGCATCTGCGTCAGCTTATGTGAAGTCAAAGGTCTATTTAGAGGTGGCGAGGAACACCTGGTGGTGGGGTGTTTGGAAGAACAAGTATTATTTTGCTTTGGTTGCAAAAAAGACCTAGTGCTGTACCATGCGCCCACTCGAGCGGGCTATTCCTACTCCCAGGCCAAACAACTGTTTTCTCATAAAACCGACAATGAAAGATTACTGACCATGGACATGAGTTGCCGATCCTCAGACACATCTATCTCGGTTGAAATTGTCTACGGTGACGACCATGGTTACGGAAACTTGTCTTTGCTCTTTGATGGCATTGATCGACCCCTCATTCGCAAGAAGGAGTGCTATAGCTTCATTACAAATGTGGACGAGTGCCATGATTTTGCCTGGGCCCGTTTGGTGAATCATGACTCATTTGTTGTGAGGGATTGGAACAAGAAGAAGAAAAGATCGTGGGAGCTTGTGGATCCGGCGCACAAAGCGTTCGAACCCCTCCGAATCCGTAACAACATGCGAGTTACCGCTACTGGTTTCATGCCACAAGGCGTCCTTTACATCGTGATGGAGCCTGTCGATGATATTGAAATTCGGCTCTTCCATCGCCATCGACGAGGATAATGATTGACAATGAGTTGGTTTCATAGCTTTAGACGAGATCGGCAGCGCTTAGTTTCGATTTCTCAAAAGCATCGTTATTTTGCGTTGAGTAGACTCTTACACCTCCTACACTCCGATATCCAAATAGCCATAGAGTGAATGAGAGCGCGACCATCCAATCTGTGTCCGAGCTCTACGTTCGCAGTTCCTCTCTCAGCTCTGTTAGCCAGAAGCCAGTCGTGATGATACTCCTCCTGTGCCACGACTTGAAGATAGCGGTTTTGCGGGCACAGAGGTTCCCCCAGCCGTGAAGGTTCCATTAAAACTGTTCCTAGCTGATCATTTCATCAGATGAACTGGAGAAGCAGGGACCTAACACTCTCTCGGGGTTGAGCGTTGCGCGACTGTTAAAGACCTCCACTGTCACAGACTCCGGCTTGACGTGGGCTTCCATCTGATGTCGTGAAAGTCCTTCATCTCACCCAAAACCAAATCCGGGCGTCCGCAAATAGCATCAGACAATGATATGGTATCTCACAAGGGTAAGTTTCCCCACCTGTATATCCACGAAGGCACTGACACGACTTTCGTAGCTGGAGTGTACTCCGACAGCGGTTCTTTTCTTACTCACAGAACACGACGCTAGTGCCCGACAGCATGAGGGTGATGCACGCAAGCACAACGTTTTTGTCCCACTTACCCTGCACTGACGTGCGGCAAATTCTTACCGCACCATAACATCGTGTCGTTGGTCAGCCTTCGACTTTCTTGACTAGCTACATGCTGTTCTGCAATCGGCGTGAGGCTCTCACTCTGGATCTCAGTCTGACAGAGTCTCTTTGGTTGAGGGAGGTTTGCAAGGTCGGCCCCATAGAGACACTACAATCCATCATACATGAGTTCATCGGCCCACACAGCCATGAGGTCGGTGCTGGAGAATAATCGGTTCGTTATGGAACTGGATCCACCTTGTCCGAAGGGCTCTCTCATTGACCTTAAACTCTGACGTTGACCATCTAGCTGCGTTCGATAGGCGGGCTAACCGGGTGTATACTTATGACCTCAACCACCGGCAGTGCATCAGTATTGTAGAAATCAGAGGATTACCGCGCGCCGACGAAAAGAAGTTGGTTGTGAGATACACTAGAGATCGCATATTTATATGCCTCTTATGGAGAGGGGATATCTCGCTGTACGACTGTGATATTCGGAGAGGCTTATGGTCCTCGCAGGCCAGGAAGCTGGTCTCGTATCCGCATGAACAGAATCGCTGGCTCGCAGTTGACATTAGTTGCTCTTGGTGCCAAACTCATCTGACGGCTCAGATTGTTCGCGGTGGTTTTTCCACCTACCATCACTCCTCGTTGGTCTTCGATGATTCTGAACCACCTCAGATCGTGCGTGGAGCTCGCGAAACCTTGGTCAGCAACAAAGAAGAAAATGCAGATGGTATGAGAGTCCACTTTGTCACCCATGACTGTGTCATAATACGAGTTCTGAACGATG